GAGTCTCAGACCCCTATTCTGTAAAGAGAGTTAGAACAGAGGACCGGTAGGGGCCCTTCTAGTACAAAGGTGGTGTAGATAAATATATTTGTGGATACTGACAATGGGGAGGAAATGAAAAATGAAGAATTGTGGAGTGGAATGCTTTGCCAGACCAAGGAAAAGCAGGAGATCAAGTAGTCAGACTCTTCTCAGGCTCTACCATCCTCCAGGGGGTCCTCCTCCTCTGGGGGGGCAAGAAGGGGAGAGAAAACTCCACTGGGAGCTCAGAGCTGGCCAGGGGTCTTTGGTTAGTTTTCTTTCTGTGTAGAATCAATAAATGGGCTTAAAAGTCAATGGGCTTTCATAAGAGTTTGTCTTGTAAAGTTGCAGGTGGTAGAAAAATCCGGAAAGTAGCAGATTCTCCGTAAATGTATTTTTATTTTCTTCTTTCTTTTCCACACTTAATAACCAGCATGTATCTGCTCTGACCTGCAAGAACTGCCTCTTTTTCCTTCTGCTCAGACATATCCAAGGGCTGTTTTATGCAGTCAGTATTCATTTGCACATGCCCATGTTTATTCTTTATTGTCTCTGGCCTTCCATCTGAGGACAGTCCCTTCTGCCTGAAGAAAACCTCTTAGTATTTCATTTTGTGTGTGTCTGCTTGCCGCTTGCATACTTCAGCTTTTATTGGTATGAAAATAGTTCTTTAGCTTTCATTCTTGAAGAATATTTTCACCACATAGGGTATGTTACTAGGCTGGCAGCTAATTTCCTTCTGTCCTCTGTAGATACCATTGTAATGTTTTCTGCTTTCCACTGTTGCTTTTCTCTTGAAAATCAGCTGTCAATCTAATTATCACTCCTTTGAAGATACTTTGTCTTTCTTCTCTGGCTGCTTTTAAGATGTTCTTTTTGTCTTTTTCATTTTCTGCAGTTTTATTGTGATATGTCCACATGTGCGTTTCTTTATGTTTTGTCTTGCTTGGGGTTTGTAGGACTTCTTGATTCTGTAAATAAATAATTAAATAATTCGCCATGTTTTTGTTTGATAAATATTTACTGCACACATGCCCCAGATCTTGGGGTCCAGTGGTGGGAAAAACCAGGGGACATTAAAGTTCATCTCCATACAGAGGATCACTGCGGCGCTGGGGGCGAGCGTAGGGCCGTCAGGAGCACCTCCTGCTGGGGTCGCTGTGGAAGCTAAGTCCTGAACAACAGGCCGAGGGGCGGGGGCAAAGCTTGTGAGACGGCGGAGAGTGGTCTGAGCGTGGGTCTGAGCTGCGGGAGAAGGGGGCATGCAGGGCGGTGGAACGGAAGGAGGGCTGTGTGTCCGAAGTGTGGGCGAGAGAGTGGGAGCTCTGAAGGGACGTGGCCAGAGGGACAGCTTGTTTTTTTAGTGCCCATCTCCAGCCACGTTGTCTCTTTTGAGATTTAGAGTGTCTACTTCCTATGTGACAGCTTTTCTGGGATGATTCAAACCACCTCAAACTCAACTTGTCCAAGGAGCTGACTCATTTCCCAAACTGCAGTTTGCTCCAGGATTCCAGGCCCTTTGGTTCCGTTGCACGTACTAGAAAACTGGCCACCAGGCCCTGCAGGCTGGCAGTCCTGAAAGAGGGAATGACTCGATAGGCATTTGTGCCTCAGAAAGCTCGCCTCGGATGGTGGTGTGGGGAGCGGGTGAGGAGACCGGTGGGAAGCAGGGAAACCCGCAAGGGGCTGTCATACAATGCTGGCAGGAGGTGACACGGGCCCATCTGACTCGGCAGCAGTGCGGGGGTGGGGGAGAGTGGACAGGTGCAAGAGGCGCCAGCGAAGCTGACTTGGCAAGAGTGAAGAGAGGGCAGGCAGACCTCCTGCTTGAATCATCGCTGGTGACAGTTCCATCTACGAGATGGGAGCAAAGGGCAGGAGCGAGACAGACCCCGGGAGAGGCAGGTGATTAGTCTGGCTCTGGGCTTGTTGCATCAAAGTAGTGATGTCTAGGAGGAAGTTGACCTGGAAGACTATTTTATTTTTTTAACCCGAAGAGGCTACTTTTTAAATCGATAACTCACTGTCTACATACATACAGTATTGCACAAATTATAAGTGGATCGAGAATTATGTTAACGATACAAACTCATGAGCATTTACATAAAACCACCACTCTAGGTTTTGGAGCATTTTGCGCCAATACTTCAGTAAATAAAACATAAAAAAACTCAGCTACTCAAATTCATGACAATCAGCTTTCAAAAAAAGCATATATATCATCTCATAGAATACTTACTATGTCAAACCCAGGAAAATCAGTACCTAAGTAACAAAAGTAACACTTAAAAAGAAAAGTGGTGATAAAAATGTTGGGTTAAAATATTGTTTAAAAACTTCAGCAATTGGACTTAGGAACCAGAAAGTGTGGGGCTATTGGGAATTTTAGGAAAAGACGCCCATGTTCCCCTCACAATTCTGACCACATTACAGCGTCTTCTCTGGTAGTGTAAACCATTGCTTCAAAGTTCAAAGAACTCTTAGTTTTAGGTGAAAGTTTAAGCCTGAGGAAACAAGGCTGGGATTTGTTATACAGTCGATAGTAAGTGCTTCATTTACAGTGTGCCTTCCTCTAGCGACTCTCACTGCGAGGACTCAAGTGTCACTGTATAAACGCTGACACAGTGAAAGTCAATTTTTCTTTTTCTCTTCTTTCTTTCTTTCTTTCTTTCTTTCTTTCTTTCTTTCTTTCTTTCTTTCCTTCCTTCCTTCCTTCCTTCCTTCCTT